GCTTTAATCCACTTTGGAGTGATTTTTTCCCACTTGGCTGGACCTGTACATATCCTGTGTTAATGCTGGTACATGTCAAATGGTAATTATTTACTGTGGAGGTCATTAAGAGTCATTGTCGGGTGAAAAAATCTTTCACTAACACTGTGTTGACCGTGAACCGGAAGTGATCGGAGTGGCATCACGTGCTGAAACGGATGTCCGTGGCATACAGTATAGGCTATTGSCATAAGGCTTGGTACATTTTGACTTCCGCCATTTAGCACCAACCTAAACTGTAAAAGCTAGAAACTACCTAAACCAGATTACAAGCAAAGAGAAAAGCAGCTATAACGGAATAACATTAAATAGGTGAATAAACTGCATTGAGTGAAGAACTGAAAAAATTCCTCAAATAAAAATAAAAAAAAATTTAGAAACAAAAAACCTCCAGAGGTCTTTAATTTAGCTTGGTAAGAGTGGAAATGTATGATAAAAACTTGTAAAAAAATGAACTGTAAAATTTTGCAGATGATTTCTAATTCATGGAAAGATACAATTATTGTATGAAAATAAAATTAATTTGAAAAAATTTGCAAGGTTAAAAAATAAATAAATCCTGACACATTTCTAGGCATGTGCATGAAGGAGGGAACAACTACTCATGTAAACAAATTAGGTTTATAAACATTTAAAAACAAACTCACACCCAAATACTGGCAAATCAGGAATGGATAACTGGGCTGGGTTTAGAGGTTTGAGATTAGGCTTGGGTTTATTGGAGCTGATATCAGTTGCTGTCATGGGTGGGTCTGTACCTGGTTTGGAACAAAACTTTGTTTCTATAAATTCTATTACCAGTGCTGGTGTTGATGAGGAAGCTTCATGGATGAAATGTATCCTACAGGGTACCCCTCGCTTCTCTGCATTTTCAATGGGTGGGGACTTYGTTGTTGGAGGTGCTCTCCTCCTCCATGGCACACAGGATGCAGTGATTTATAACTACACCAACAAGCCTGAGCCTCCAAGGTGCACAGGAAGGTTAGTAAGAAAAAGGAGCAGAAATGGATGATTTATGTTTTATTTCATTATGCCTTGCAGTAATAGAAGCTTCCTGTGCCAACTGCCAGTTTTTTTCTCAAAACTTTGAATTTTTTGATCATTTTCTAATTTGGTATYTAAATGTTAGCATCTTTCATCTGTGCAGGTTTGATGCCCGGGGTCTGCGTTTGTGTCGTGCAATGATCTTTGCCATTGAGGAAATTAACAACAGCACAGAGCTGCTGCCAGGGATCAAACTTGGATATCWGATCTATGACTCATGTGTTTCAGCATCAGTGTCTGCACATGTGGCGTTCCAAATAACAAATGGTCAAGACCCTGTGTTTTACAGAGACAGTAATTGTTCCCAGGCCGGTGTTGTGATGGCTGTTGTTGGAGATGTTGCATCCACTCCATCCATCAGCATGTRGCGCATCATTGGGTCCTTTAACATCCCTCTGGTGACTAATTTTAAAATTGCAAACTCAAATCACAGTGCCAAAAACAAGTTTTCAACAATGTGAAGCCCTAAAATTTTATTTTTTTATTGCTTAAGGTAAGCCATTATGCAACCTGTGCCTGTCTGTCAGATAAGCAGCAGTACCCAACATTTTTCAGAACAATTCCCAGTGATCAMTTCCAAGRTGAVGCWRTGGRKAAGCTGGTGAAACACTTTGGRTGGACTTGGATTGGTYCTGTRWATTCTGACTCAGATTATGGKAATWATGGCATGGCATCTTTTCTTGAAGCAGCACAAAGAGAGGGGATCTGTGTGGAGTACTCTGAATCCTTCTTTCGAACTGACCCATATACCAAGATCAGGAGAGTAGCTGATGTTATCCGCAGGTTTCTGCCTCATTATTTTCCATTGTCTATCTTTACTTCTGGAGTAAACYTCCTGCATACAGATGTGACCAGAAATTACTTTTTAAAAAGTGTTTTTAGATATGTTTTGTATGTTCTAATGACAGGTCACACAATYTCTTGTATTTAGTAGTTTAYGTTATCAAATTTGCACATCTTTCCAGGTCGACCGCAATGGTTGTTGTGGCTTTTACAGCTTCTGGAGATATGAGTGTCCTGTTACAGGAGCTGGCTCGTGATCCTCCACCATCTCGTCAGTGGATAGGAAGTGAGGCCTGGGTAACTGACCCAAATCATTTGAGATTCAGTTTCTGTACAGGAACCATTGGAGTTGCTGTCCAGCAATCTGTCATCCCAGGGCTCAGAGACTTTCTGCTGGATCTCTCTCTCACTGAAGTAGCAGCCTCTTCAGTGCTTACTGAGTTCTGGGAGGATGCATTCAACTGCAACTTAAGAAAAAGTAAGTTTTATTTTTATTTTTCAAATTATTAATTATAATAAAAATGGTTGTATAGGTTTTATTTCCACTTCATAATTCATGCATCCTCCATTTTTTTATTTTTTTATTTTTTTTACTTATAGGACAATAAAATCCAAACCACACAGTGTTTAAAGTAATGTATAAAGTATTGCTTAAATGTTATTGAAAAAAACATGTAATGATCTTAAATTAAGTAAATTGACAAAAATCACAATATTAAAGTGTCATAAAACGTCTTTTTTAATCTCGTTTTTCATCATGTAAATTTCTAAGATTTGTTTGTATCGGTGTAAACAAACACAAGTGGGAAATTTTTTAATTAATTGTCAGTTTGCAATGAGGGCTAATGAAGATAAAAAAAAGTTCTTGTGATGAATAAATAACAAGGAAATYACAGCTTTGTAGATATGCATTTAAAAATCCTTTCTGTTTGGTTGTTGTTTAATCGGATATTTATACATAACATATCCACCACAGGCAAACATATTTGGWTAAGAAAATATATAAAATTGTACTAAACTGGATTTAAAAAAAAACTTTAAGCATAAGGTCAGGTATCTGTGTAAAGTAACACAGGAAGACCATTTAAATTATTTGTATGCTTTACATAAAATTCAGGTATTTTAAGAGTAAAACAATATGTGTTTTTGTGGTTGTTTTTTCTTTSTTTGTTTGTTTTGACCTATTAATGTTTCTGTTTTTATGTTTTAGTAGATGGTGATCCAAAAAAGAAAGTCTGTGATGGYACTGAAGATATAAAAARGCTAAAAAGCCCGTACACTGAAACATCTCAGCTGAGAATCACTAACATGGTGTACAAGGCTGTTTATGCAATTGCTCATGCCATTCACAATGCAGCGTGTGAGAAAACTAATGAAACTATTAGGTGTGACAAARACATTGGACTGGACTCAAAACAGGTTAGGGAAAACATTTAAATCAAAAAGAGCTCAAACTTTTTAATTAGTTACTTGGTTTTCTAACAAAATAAAGGCAAWTGGTTCCCTCTCTGAATTTTCTGATTCACAGATTTTAACCGAGCTAAAAAAAGTCAGCTTCTCCAGAAATGGTTATCCTGTGTCATTTGATGCTAATGGGGATCCTGTGGCTTATTATGAGCTGGTCAACTGGCAGAAGAGTGAGAGTGGAGTTATTGAGTTTGTAACAGTAGGATATTATGACGCATCTCTGCCTAAAGGCCAGGAGTTTCAGGTCAACAGGAACATAACTTGGGTGGAGGGTGGAACACAAGTAATGATATTTAAACATTTTACCTAAAGGAAAAGATGTTTAAATATTSAGAGCTGTTTTCAACATCAGGTACTTTTAGATTTTGTCTGATTGTGTGACAGGTACCAGTGTCAGTGTGCTCTGAGAGTTGTCCTCCAGGAACTCGTAAAGTGTTGCAGAAAGGAAAACCCATCTGCTGCTATGATTGTATACCATGTCCTGAAGGAGAGATCAGTAACATGACAGGTAACATCAGATGTTTTGTATTCATTTTTGCATTTTCAMGTGTTACCCTGATGATCTCTGTGATCTGTTTTTTTTTAAGATTCTTCTGATTGCTTCACATGTCCCAGTGAATTCTGGCCTAATACAGAAAAAGATGCTTGTTTCCCCAAACCTGTTGAGTTTCTGTCATATGATGAAGTCCTGGCAATCATCCTGGCTATATTATCTGTTACTGGAGCCTGTCTGGCCATCATAACAGCAGCCATTTTCTTACGTCACAGAACAACTCCAATTGTCAGAGCCAACAACTCTGAGCTGAGCTTCCTGCTGCTCTTCTCTC